GGGGGGGGGGGGGGGGGGGGGGGGGGGGGGGGGGGGGGGGGGGGGGGGGGGGGGGGGGGGGGGGGGGGGGGGGGGGGGGGGGGGGGGGGGGGGGTAGGGTGATGACAGGGGCTGGGAATCTGGAAGGTAAGGGAGCAGATGATAGTAAGCTCTGGGCTGAGGCTTGGAGGCAGCACTGCCAGCAGCTAGGCCTCTAGATCTAGAAAGCCTTCAGGGACTAAAGTACTCACAGGTCCTTTTAGGTGGGAGATGCTTTATGGACTGGGCTGGGTCAGCCAGTCAGAATGTAGCCCTCCTAGGAACTCAACAAGACCCTCCTCTGGGGAACCCTTACCATTTCTGTTTTCTCCAGCTCCATTGGATAGCTGCTGCCCCTGCCTGACAATCTCCGTACATGAGAGCTAGGCCATTGTGTCTATCCTGTTACACACACTTGCTCTAGATGGTCTTTACCGCATGTCCCATGAACTGTGTATTCCTGGAGCCCACCTGACCCAGAGCTTGGGACTGCTCCACAAGTCTCCAGCATGCCTTTGGAAGCCCTTCTTTATTGGGAAATAAATACAGAGTCAAACAGGTGGGCCAGCCAACATCTGTAGTTTTGGGGGCCAAAAGAAAGGAGTCTGACTTGCTCAGAACTCAGATCTCCATGAGCTGGTCATTCCCCACGATCACCTCGTTCACTCGTTTAGCTACAAAAGAAAAGGAAAAGGTTTTTCTGAGAATTGGCAGCAAAAGATGTCACTTCAAACCCAACTCTTCTAATTCTGTGTTCACAAACATTTATTCCTCTCCTATTGTGGCTCTGCTCTTGAGAAGCTCTTGGAAATACAAATTACCAAAAAGGCTATGAGAGAGACATTTCCTACACAGGAAGGTGCGACTGACTATATATCTGGCTTTGGGGAGGCTTACATAGGAGAACTGGAGTTTTGCCAGGCAGTGATCAAAAGAAAGGCATTGCAGGCTGTTAGAACAGCAAAGACGTGGAGATGTGAGAAAGGGGAACATGAAATACTATGGTATGGCCAGAGGATAGGAAATGAGGGGAAAAGAGAGAGAAGAAATGAGGATAAAAGGATAAATGGAGCTATTCAAAGGAGAAAGGGAGATACCTCATATGTAATAATCAAAATAATACTACCTACTACATAGGGTTGTTGTGAGAATTCGGTGAGTTAAAAGATGAGTGCTCAATAAATAGTGGTTATTCTTATTTTTGTAAACTCGAAACCCATAAGACCCTCTATGACCTGACCATTGCCTATATCTCCAGCTTCATCTCCCACCATTCTGCATTTATACCAACAAGGCATACTGTTTTATACCTTTAGACCTTGGCACATCCTATTCCCTCTGCCTAAAATGCTCCTCCCTCCCATTTTTTCCCATTGCACTCTTACTTACCCTAAAGGCCCTAATCCAGCACCTCTACTCTGTGATACCTTCCCTTCTGAACTGTCCATTTCCTGCTCTGTACCTATTAAATATCTCTATCTCTATCTACATCATTATATCATTCTCCTCTACTTCAATAAGAACATTGAGGGCAGGGAAGGAACAGTGTAGTTATGATTATACCTCTGCTGTCTAGCACAGTTACTGGCATATGAAGATTTTAGAGGTTTTGGGTAATGACAAGGATAGGATATGATCATGTAAGTGGAGAGCTAAAGCTAAATGGAGATGAAGATTGGTAGAGAAGTTCAGGGAATCATGAAGCTGGGGTCTGGATAGTTCACTAATGAGTATGTTCAAGTTGTTCAAGATGTTGGGAAAGAGTGTGGGAGGGGAGATGAAGACTTTGAACCAGGGTCTAAAGAACCTCAATAAATTTAGGAGAGTGCCCTGGAAGCTGGCCAATAATGGGGTGAAAGCTATAGGAGGTTTTCAAGAAAAAAGAGCTATATAAAGGAGGCAGTAAGCCAATGGTCTGGAAGGGGCAGGGGGAACCAGGGGCATGTTGTCTGCCTCTTGCCTGGAGGTGTGGGGAGGTGCAGGAGACAAGAGTTTTCCAGTCTTCTGCTGGCTCAAACAGAAAAGTTTGACCAACTGGCTGAAAACTGATTCTTTCTAGGCTACCTTCCCACGGCCTATAAAAGTCCAGCACCTTTCCTGCTACACTTGGGGGCTTCAGTGTGATACTGATAGATGAGGCAGAAATTTTAGCTAACCTGAGGCTCCACTTCTGCCCCAGAAGTCTTTTGTGCAGCAAAATGAAGATCCTTGATGACTGGACCAAGTTTGATAGTGAGAGATGTTTGGGTCTGTTCATACTGCTCATAGCTGGGAGCTAGGGGTGACCTGTGTACTCCTGCCCAAGAAGGTACTCCTTTTTATACTTCATAGCCATTTGCTTCCTTCAGTGAGGAGAGTGGGAAGGAGGCACAGACAGTGCTCAGGCTGCTAAATTCCCTAGGGCCATGGCAGGTCCTGGAGTGTGACTGTCAATCAGGCTCCACCCCCAAGGTAAGACTGACCGGAAAAGAACAAAGGAAATGCTTCTTTGGCTAGCTTCCCAGAGCTCTCTAAATGCTCCTCTTTACCCTTTATCTCTATAGTTGTGAGTCAGCCTCATCACCTTGCATCTAGACTTTAGACATTTGCTCTTCACTCCGTCTCTTCCATGGACACTGGGCTGTTCTTTTTTTTTTTTTTTTTTTCCTGATCCACGTATCCTTTATTCCATTGCCAACCACTGTGCCACATCCAAGCAACAGTACACAAACTGGCAATCAACTGCAATCCAGCTGTACAACGATCTGAAGTTTACAGTACGTTTGAAGCTTTTAAATGACACTGGGCTGTTCTGAACACAGTCCCAGTTCCAATTAACTCTCTTCTTGGACCTTAGTGCTCCAGACCAGGGTGAATTTTTTTTTTTTTTTTTTTTTTTTTTTCCTGATCCACGTATCCTTTATTCCATTGCCAACCACTGTGCCACATCCAAGCAACAGTACACAAACTGGCAATCAACTGCAATCCAGCTGTACAACGATCTGAAGTTTACAGTACGTTTGAAGCTTTTAAATGACACTGGGCTGTTCTGAACACAGTCCCAGTTCCAATTAACTCTCTTCTTGGACCTTAGTGCTCCAGACCAGGGTGAATGAGGTGCCTCGCTGGGGCAGACAATTCTTTCTTCCGCTCTACCATGCTCTACATGAACACCTGAGCCTTTTCTCACCTGCCCTCCCTACTTTCCTCTCTTCTCTCTGCTCTGCTCTTGGCCTGGTGGTGAAAGAAGACCTTGTTCACTGGGATTCAGGGGAGAGAGACTATATCTGGTATATTAGGAGTACTTTCATGGAGATTTAGTAAGTTGGAGGAAACCTGTAGGGGAGTAACATGCTGAACTAGTTCTGCTTGGTCAGGGTTGGGGGTAAGTTCCAGTCACACACTGGAAAAGCTCTCGGCTGGAATCAGGTTGGGAAAGATCCCAAAGGTAAGTGTATAAGAGAGGATAAGTTGGGGAAAAACCAGTGGGATAGAAGGGAATAACATGTCACAAATGAAAAGCTGCACTGTTGGGAAACTGGGAAGGATTCCTGCTAGCCAGAAGGACTTGACCTGTGTCAAGTATCTGTCAAGACCTTGACCAATGTCAGGTCTACTTTCATGGCCAAGGGACTGATCATTGTTGTCAAAGGGAAGAAATCGAAGTTCTGTCATTGACAGTAAGAAGAGACTCAGATGAAGTGTCCAATTAGAGTCTTCCAGGTGTTGACTGTTGGCTGTGGCCTTTCTACTGCTTGAGCAGGAGGTCAAACTTGGCTGCCAGGATTTTTGCCAGAGATAATCACTGACAGTGCTGAGATGGGGTGAGAAAAGCCACAGTTGTTATAAAATGTCTTGTTCTCTTGACAGTGCTAGAAAAGGGCAGAGAGGTCTAGTTTGGGGGTAAAAGACTGCTGTGGATGTGGTGACTCTGTGATATGAAAATGACTGGAATTTGGAGAGGGGACAGCGTTACTTCTTAGGATGAACATTTTTTTCCTGAAATCCTTCCATGTGAGGAAGACTGATTAGAGACTTTGCCATCTACTGAGCTCTTTGCTGATGAGGACCAAGGTTGTTGATGTGTATCAAGGTCATCCACAGTAACACAGGTCTTGAGTGCTACACTGATGGCTAGATATTTGCTTTCTCCATATGGCTCAGCCTCAAAGAAAAGTGATAGTGGAAACAGGCAACTGGCCAGGTAATACCTGTAGCAGAAAGGCATTGACCACTGTGCTGGATGCATTGGTCCCTCCAGCAGAACAGAGAGCAGGAAAGGGTGGGGTTGTACAGTTTAGAGTCCAGATGACTTCCCTGGCTATCTCTCCTTCAGGAGGACCATTAAGGGTTCTCCTCATGGCTTAGTTAAAGCCAGAAAACCCATTTCATAATTACAATCATCTCACAGAGGCCTCTCTTGGAACCCTTTCTGCCATGAAATCCCCCAAAATGTTTTATGGGCCCAAAATTCATTTATTCACTAACCCCCCCAAACCCCCCAAAATATACTAATAAACCAGGACCTGTTCTCAGGGCTAAGAATACATATCGTTATAAGATGATCCTTGGCCTTGAGAATCTTAGTCTAGAAGGAGAGGTAGATTCATAAATAATTGCCATAACTTGTGATATACTTTAATAATAGTATGGCAAAGTTCAGGGATGCAGAGGAAGAAATGCTCCGTTCTGCTGTGGGGAGTTACGGGAAGAGTCAGAGAAGGTTCTACAGAGGAGAAAACACATGGGCAGAATCTTTAAGAAAAATTCCAGAGAGGGAGGGCATATGCAGGCATGGAGAGGCACAACAGTATAGTGTATATGAGGAACTCTAAGTCCCTTGGTATACTCCATCCAGGAGGAGTGAATACTTCTTATAACATTTTATTGTATTTAATTCTCACAGCAATCCTCCAACGTAGGTGTTACTGTCCCAATTTTTCTAGTTAAAAAAACCTGAAGCTTAGAGATTAAACAAATTTAACCTGGTGCAAATCCAGTGACTTGCACAGCTGAGATTTGAATCCAGATCTGTTGGACTCAATGACCAAATGGGAGGCGTGAGACTTTAAAAAAGAGAAGAGAAAAACAAAACAAAACAAAACTGAAGACGGCCTCTGTTTACTGGGGATGAGAAAAATGATGTGGCTTCTACAGAATTGGTGGGGTTAGTTCCTTCAGCAACTCTCCTACCCTGCTCTATTTTAGGTTTAGGAATAATCTAAAAAGCAATTGGCCATTTTTATTGATCTTGAGCTTTGTCTACTTTTTGGTTAAAAACATCCAGTCTAATTAAGGAAAATTACACTTTGCCCTCCCCAGGAGGGAAACCCTTGTCTTTGTATGTTTCTCAAGCACTATACAGTCTTTCTACAGGCTACAGAGCAGAGCGAGATAACAGCACAGCTTACAGCTTTCTCCTCTAAGTGACTGAGAATGGCTTAGAATGTTAAATCCCACCTATCTTCTCTTATGACAGGAATTTATGCAACTACCTCCCTTTAAATACCAGGTCAGACAAAGTGTTCACAGACTTCAGGAGGCCAGAGTTAGTTTCTGAGCCTTTGCTTCATTAATGGCCCTTCTGTCTCACGTCGAATGGCCATTGTAAAGTATTGGTACTAATCTGGGCCATTAAATCTATTGGTACATTTTCAGTTTTTTTTTTATAGTAAGGCTACATACAAGTATAAGCTTATCTGTAAGACAAACTCCTAGAAATGGAACTGTTAAGTCAAAATTTAAAAAATTGAAAATAATATCAATTGCTCTCCAAAGACAGCTTTATCAATTTATGTTCTCACCTGCAATATATGCGCTTGTTTCCCACATTCTCACCAGCACTGACCATTACCAGTGCTAGTGTGATAGATAAAAAATGGTATCTGGGATTGTAACTTGGGCTCTGACTTACCTTTGGCTTCAATCTTCTGGCCACTTCCAATCAAGCAGTCCTTGATGTCTGCTCCCTTCTCGATCACAGCATTGTTGCAGATGACGCTGCCCTGGATGTTGCTTCTGTAACACAGTAGACAAGTTAGGGAATGCCCAGGGCTCTCATCACCATCCTTACCACTACTGGCTGGGGGTCTGGCTCCTCCCTACGCCAGGAAAAGCTGGTCAGTCCAGTTAATGGCTACATGCCTCAAGTTATCACTGGAAGACAGAATGGCAGGCCAAGGGAGGACCTGATTTTAGAGAAGTCCAGAGTTAGGATATGCTCATAATGACCTTTTTCTAAGGGTTGAAAAGAACAGATATTCTGATTTCAGTTCCTTAGGGACCCCAGAACTAAAGTCTAAATTCCATCCAATCTCTCCTTTGATCTGGGGGTGGAAGCAGCGGCTGGTCCCTGGGCTGACTTTGAGGTTCAGAAATCATGAACCTTCCAAAGAGATCAACTATGGAAACAATGGGTTCCTCGCAGCCCTTACCACAGACTCTGGTTAAACAAAACCATACTTATTTAGGGGGAAAAAGAAGATATTTTAAAAATGAGCTCCATTCCACATTAAAGAATACTCCAGACCCTAAAGCCTGCTCTCAAGAGTAGTACCACTGGCTCTTCGCATCTGAATGTATTTAAAGAGCATCTTCCTGGCTCCTGAAGATTGGCAGGTGGTGGAAAGTTCCTTTTGAAAATCATTACTCCCCCCCCCGCCCCCGCCCCATCTGCAACCAGCCTAGTGATGACCACCGAGCCACCACTGGAAACACCCAAGTTGGGGTGGTGGCGGGCAGAGGACTTCAGCCACATGCCCCTGACATCTGTATCCAGCCCAGCAATGACTGAGCTGCTGCTGGAATCCCCCTGGTCTCCCCTGCCAGGATGAGAGGGGTGCCATGGGCCTTGACAACACCCCCCTCCTTCCTCCTCCTATTTCCCTCCCCCTTTCCCTCTCCACCTCCCAACAAACTGCTCCACAACATCTTAGAATGTAAAAAATAATATATATATATATATTTTTTTTGTCTTTTGTCTTTTTTTCCGTGTCCGGCAACGGATCGCAACCCTCAGTGTTGCCCCCGTACCGGACCGGGGACCGGCAACGGGATCGCAAGCCTCGGCGTTGCTCCCGCGCCTCGCTCAGCCAGTGAGCGGGAGCCGGTCAAAAAATAATATTAATAAATAAATTTTTAAAAAAGAAAAATCATCACTAACATTTATTCCATATCTACTTTCTACCAGGTACTGTGCTAAATATTCTATGTAGGGCCAGCCCGTGGCTCACTTGGGAGAGTGCGGTGCTGATAACACCAAGGCCCCAGGTTCGGATCCCATATAGGGATGGCCGGTTAGCTCATGGGGTGAGCGTGGTGCTGACAACACCAAGTCAAGGGTTAAGATCCCCTTACCGGTCATCTTTTGAAAAAAAATAATAAATAAATAAATAAATATTCTATGTACATTATAGGAGTGACTTTTACAAATCTAGCCATTTCTTCTGAAAAATAACCTGGCCAATGTAAAAAATAACAAAGAAACACCTCAGTGCCCTAGCTCCCATCAATCATTTTGGTAGGTCTGGGATGGCAGCCTTATGTATTTAATTAGAAAAAATCTTTCCTAGCAGATTCTGGGAGTACCATTTTTGTCTCTGATGCAGTAAAAACAGCAACCACATATTGCACATGACAACAGATTTAGAGAAATTAAACCATTTACCCAAAACCAATAACTGCTAAGTAACAGATTCAAATCCAGGTCCGCCTGACCCCAGAATCCATACATTTAATCATAATGCAATACAACGAAATTAGGAAAAGACTGGACGAAGCCTAGAACTGCCGAGTTGCTATTCTGAGTTGAGATGGCTCTGTGGAAGTAGCTCAGTCCTAACAAGGGAATATTCAGTACCCCTGAGTCAGAAATGGAAAGAGTCAAAAATGGGCAGCTAGAGGGGAGAAGGAGGAGAATAAGAAGGGTGGGAGCACCCATTTAAACAAAACAAAACAAACCAACTAAGGAACAATCCTCAAACAACCCAGGAGACATGGGGGGTGGGGAAGAGGACATTCCATGAGCTGAAAACATTGATGTACAGGCCATTAAAAAAGATTCTTCCCAAATGCCAAAACTTTAGAAAAATGCATAAAAGAATTCTAGAACTTTATGGAATTCCAGAGTCATCTTTATCTGTATTCTTCTAGAAAGTTAAAGCCTGTTGGAAAGAAGCAAAAGGCCAAAGTCACAGCACCTCTGTGGTGTGGGCTAGAGATGGGCAGAGACAGCTCTAGTTTGCTTAGTGGCACAGACTCAGGATTCACTCAGTGGGTGGGCTTTAAGAGACCTCTGAGAACTTCCCAACTTACAAAGCAGTCCAGTCAGCAGTTAGGGTGGTTCCTGCTCCTTGGGGGAAATTCCCCCAAAAAGGGTAATGAGGAAATATAGAAAGCCTTAGATACAGAATCTCCTGGGATAGAGCTAGCTTGCAATTGGCTACTAATTTCTCACAAAAGAGTCCCATTTCTTTTTTCCTAGGTGGTAGTAGGGATATGCTTCCTAGTTAAGAAATGCATGCTCTAGAGCTATGCAAGAGGTAAACAGCAGACAAAAAAAACAGCTAACAGGAACTCAAGCAGCCATAATTAAAGACTATCAAATGGCTATTTTGGAATCCAGGATATAAGTGGGAACCACTTCTGGAAAGAGAGGCTGGAATGACTGAGGTTAGATTTCCACAGCAATGGATAGCCTGATTTTCCTTGTGTTTAGCATGTTTACTTGGGGTCTTCACGAATCTTCCATATTGCTTGTCTCATCCCATATATGTTAATTCTTTCTGAGATGCATAAACCACCACTGTAGAGTCTGCAGACATAATAGGGAAAAGCAGGTTGATTGATGGGAAGCTGGGGGCTTTCCTGAGGCTCCTGGTCAGTGGATCTGTGGAAGGCTTTGAGACGAATACCTGACAACAGTTTATGGAGTGTAAAGCTCTTTTCTGACCATTTATCTCCTCAACTGTTCCCCTGAGCCTGGCTGGTTAGCTCAGTTGGTTAGAGCATAGCTTTATAACACCAAGGTCATGGGTTTGGATCCCCATGCTAGCTTCCCCCCTGCCCAATATGTTGTTCCCCAGTATCACTGCTGCTGTCGCAAACCACCTCCATTAGCAAGGCTGAGGTACTTTGGAAAATTTCAACCCAATACAGCTTCCCCTCTGTCCAGAAAGAAATTTCAAGATCAAGGATTATTACCGGAAGCATGTGTTTCTGCTCATGCTAGACAGGATGGACAGATAGAAAGGGCTATATCAAACAAGCCCTCTCCAGGTTGCCAATCCACAGCAAGGAGTCTGCCTTTTCTGCTCAGTGCTTGAGGAGGGAGAGGAGGGGAGTTCCTATAAGCCCAAGAAAAGAACTGGCCCTAGTGCCAAAACTATAGTTTTTGCATCCTAGTTTTAACTGTCTTGGCACTAAGGACTCTGCTTTGCTAATGCCTAGCTGTGTTCTCTATGAAGCTGCTCAGTGATGACTAAGACTAATGGAGACTTGGTCCTCATTTCTTCTTGGCAGGGTCAAATTCTAGACAAAGATGCAGCCCTTGGGAAATCACCCAGCAAACTACAATGCTTCAGTGGAGAGGAGGCCATAAGAAAAACATAAGAGGCCTACAGTAAGATCACTGTTTGGCCAGGCATACCACATTATCCCATGTTGGGGAATACCCCATGAAGAAGTTTGACTGGGGAAGCAAGAGTGTCTCCAAATTCTTGTTCCTCTTTTGATTTTAGTTAGCACTTTCTCTAGTTCATTCCAGGGAGGAAAGGGAACTCACATATATTTAATGTCTAATACATCTCAGTCACTGTACAAAGCACTTTACATTCATTTTATAATTTAATCCTTTTGGCAAACTTGCAGGGATGGTGGTATTTATTCTAATTTTTACAGAGAAAACTGAAGCTCACAGAGGTTAAGCAATGTGCCCAAGCCTACATGGCGGTCATGGGCTCCTGCCTCAGCTGTTGACTAGGCAGTATTTACAAAGAGCCTTGAAACTTCTCAGCAACTCTGAGGACAGGCAGGTTCATTTCTTTGTGGATTAGTTGGCCGGCTTTCTATACCTACTCATAACCCTGGGGTAAGAAAAAGAGTATGGAACTGGAGATACATGTAGCTTTTCTAAGCATGTGATTATGGTCTGCTTTAGGCCAACTCACAACTTTTTTTTTTTTTTTTTAAGATGACCGGTAAGGGGATCTTAACCCTTGAGTTGGTGTTGTCAGCACCACGCTCACCCAGTGAGCCAACCGGCCATCCCTATATGGGGTCCGAACCCGTGGCCTTGGTGTTATTAGCACCGCACTCTACTGAGTGAGCCACGGGCCGGCCCCAACTCACAACTTCAGCCCAAAGATTATGGCTGAGTCACCCATTTCTCTCCAGGTGATAGGGAGCCTTCTAACTTAAGCCCAGGGGCCCTGGTCCAAGTGTCTCTAGACAAAGAACATGTATGATTTTTAATGAAATATTTCAAGTATAGAAAAAAGTCTACAGAATAATATAAAGAACACCTGGGTACCCACCAAACAGCTTAAGAAACAAACAATACAACCTGCTGTGCACCTTTCTTTGATCACATTTTCTTCCTTCCCCCACCAGAGGTAACCACTATTTGACTGTGGTGTTTATTGTTCCTAAGCATTTTTACTGCATATATTAGTAGGCAACATATAGTGTTGTTTTGCCTGTTTATAAAATTTTATATAAATGCTATTCTCTATGTATCCTCCTGCAACTTGCTCTTCCCCCTTCAACATATTTGTGAGATTTATCCAGGTTAATTCATGTAATGAGATATAATACTTGAAGAACTATCTCATCTTTTTCCTATTTCTGGTCACTGTTGTTCTTGGGTCCTCTAGGTTAAAATGTACTGGCTCTAGTGAGTAGGCTGAAAATGTCCTCCTTTTAGTTCTGTGTGCCTCCCTTCACTACATAAAGGTTTAGTGGTGAGAAATGTCTCCTTCCTGAGAAATCTGAGTCCTTATATTCCCTAAGCAGAGACTAAG